AATTGCCTTCTCATTCTTTGCCTTTAGTACTTCAGTCACTTCCCTTTCTGCAAATCGAGTCGTATCCAGCTAAGCATCTTCAGGAAATAATGGTGCCATTTTCCTCAGGGCAACCTGCAGTACTGATGGTGACTTAACAAATATACTGGTGTCAAGGGGCATCAAAGAATATTTTTCACACCTTTAGTGTCAACACACAGACAGTTTTTGTGTGAGCCTGCTTGCATGGATGTCTCCTGGGCTCCGTGTCCTCCCAAATCTCTGGCTTCTGTGGGGTTGGGCTGGGTTTGGTTTGGTTTCTTCCACGAGGTAAGTGTTTCGATCCTTCATTTGCCTTGAAGTCACTAACACACAATTCACATTTGTTTCTCAAGAGCTATATGTGGTCCCTTCCATGAGAAGTCTCACGGCTGAGGAGTATGTAGAGGCCTTTAAGTCATTTTTGGATCATTTGACGGAGCACCAGTGCATGGAAGAGTTCAACAAGGAAGAAATGCCTCACATCATGGCAGGGTAAGGAGCGCGTCCACCGAGGTGTGCAAGCCATCTGTTATCTGGGGAGGGCAACCTGTGCATAAGGGTTAGCAAACATGTTTAAGGGTTTTCTGGGGCATGAATGAACTTTCAACGCTTTTCAGTTTTAAGTCCCTTAACAGTGGTCTTTAGGATATTCAGTTTAATGTCTCAAGTGTACACGTAATTTCAATTAATACATTGTGTTGCTTCTCAGCTTATGTTAGGGAAAGAATCAAAACCTTATTTTCATGTCCATCTGCTTTCATTAGTTGATTTTCAAAGGATTAACGATTTTTGGATTTTTTTTCTCCCCCTCCTTTTTTTTTTTCTTCAAAAGAAAGCTCCCTCTTGTGCTCTATGCCTGCATTTGGGACTTCATCACACATCAGTCCAAACAGAAACACATCTCTAATTCTATTCTAGTGACTAATTCTTGCTTTTCTCAATCCCCTAAGACCTCCTTATTTCTATCCTAAGTCGATTTGCATTGCTTAAGTACCAAATGATAATCAGTTTTGTTAAGTACTGATGTAACATATTAAGCCTGTGTGACTGCAGATAGTTTCAGAACAGGCTAGATCCAAACCACAAGAAAAGTCTTTCAAGTCTGGATAATTTTTGGATGCTGTAGAAACTGTATTCTCCTTTGAGAAAAACACTTAGGCAGGTAACTTCAGATGCTTATATCTATATCTGTCTGTCTCTCCAGCTATCTATCTGAAGTAATAGAAGCAATAATAAAGAAAGAAATTGTTTGGGGAAAATTTAAATGCAGCATTTCCTTATGTGAATTTTAACCAATACTGTTTGCTGGACCAATACAAAACATTGCAGTTTAGTAGCATTCTAATTTGGGGTTGATCTGAGCTTCCATCTTCCACCCATGACATCTTTAATCCCGGAACAATACACCTCCAGCCCTCACTAGAGCCAAGGCTCCCTGACTTGCTCACAGCCCCCAGGATTTCCTACTCTGTCCCCTCTTTTGAATCATTGCTGTGGTGTTTCTTGAGATTTCATACGGGACTCTGTCCCTCTGCACAGGCCATGCCTGAGGCAGAACAAGGCCACGAAGTATTTCCATGTAGAGCAGCAAGCAGCCTCAAACCCAGGAAGCTCATCCTCGAGCCAGGCTATTATGAAATACACTGCCAACAACCTCATGATTTTTTTATTTTTTTTTTTGGATCTGAAGTAGTTTTTCTAAGGTAAAAATTATTGAAGTTTCTGACCTTTGCTCCCAATTTCAAGCCAAGGTGAATATTGAAAAGAGAATATTTACAGTCACATGGATAGCCCAACTTTTGATTTTTTTCCTGAGCATTTATAGCCAATGTCAGAAAACCTGACTTGTCTCCTGAGAGGTTTACCCCAGCTCACCTTGTCCCCACAGCCCTGGCCAAGCACAGCCTCACTCCCTGCAAAGGGAACCCCACACCCCAGATTTTCTTGAGGTTGTTTTTGCATGGTGCCAGCCACAGTTTGAAGAAAATTCTGGCAAGGGAACAGAAACACTATATCCTGCTGCCTACTGTACTTTTAAAATATGAGCCTGCTTACATAGGGCCAGATCCTGCCAAAAATAAGTTATAGCTGTGCTCCACTGTGATGTTCGAATTTTCATCTCAATTCATGTGGCACATCTCAGTAAAATTCCTGGGCCACCGTGGCATCCAGGATATTAGAATTAAAACACAGAGTTGTGTGACACAGTGTGGTTGAGTAACGTGCGTATACTTGTAATTTCAGCCTTGGCAATGGAAAATCCACGATAAATGTTCTGGGCGTGGGGAGCAGCACAGGTAATGAGCTGAACAGCACAGCTGATGCTGGGGAATGGGGGTCCCCAGGGGCAAGGGAAAGCTCTACCCAGGTTCTGGGCAATGGGCAGAATTACTCAAGCATTAATAACAGTATTTTTCATGGAAATACCTTCCTCTTGATGACTCTCTCCTGACTATATGTCTAAAAGCAAGGAGTCCTCCAGGTTAGGTAGGAGAGCACCTTCAAACCTCATTGGAAGGAATTACAGACACCTGGGATTTGTTCCACCCAAAGGTCATGTCTTAGAGTCTCCCACCCAAAGGCACCTCCCCACATTGTGCATTGCCTTCAGGGTCTGCAGAGGTGAAAGCTGGGTTTTGTTTGGCTGCAGGTGGTACTCAACCAGCAGAGATGAACGTGGGCTGGCCACAGCCATTAGCACAGGGCTTTGTCAGCTCCTTCAAGATGTGCTTTTTAAAAGTTATTATTGTTTTTATCTGGTGACAAGTGGTGTTTAACTGCAAATGGTATTTCCTCCACCTCCCCAGAGAAGAAAAATCTTTTGGCAGAAATAACCTTAAAGCTGTTGTAAATGCATTTTTGGAGGGAAAAAAAAAAAAAAAAAAAAAAGCATGCAGCTTTGATCCTAGGGAAACTGGGAGGAAATACAAAATAGAGAAAAGAAATAGCAGTTTGATTTGTCAGACTTTGAATTTGTTTTAAAGTATTTTCAACTGAATTATAAGTGTTAATACTTTCTGTTGAAAGATTTTTTCTCACTTGTTTTGATTGTTTTCCTGAGTAAGAGGAAAATAGCAGTGATTGTTTTCTCCAGCTGGGAATATGTTGGAGCATATAAGAGAGTGAGGAGGAAGAAATCATTCAGTTCTCAATTACACTCTGTTCTCATTAAGTAATGTAAAACCGATACTCTGTTTGACTCCAAGAAAGCACAAGGGAAAGGGGAACCCTTTACAGTGCCCAGTGCCCTCATTTTTCCTTATTTCCTCTTCAGAAGAAGTTTCAATGGGAAATAAATACCCTAAGGCAAGCTGGCAGGGGCACAGGCTCGCACCCTGCAGCGTGCCGAGGCTGCCTGAGCTGAACTTGTGCGTGCTGCACGGGAGTGAGCCAGCGTGGCACCGAGGGAAAGGTCATATGTGATCCCTGACCTTCTTGGGCTTGGACTCTAGGTTTCACACAGCTGAAATCAGTTTAGTTGACTGAACTATTAATGGGGATTGTGACCCGCTCTGCATCCTAAAAGGCTGCTGCTTGATCCTGGCCATGCTTGCTCATTCAGCCCTTGTTCCCTGTGGCTGGTGAAAGCACCTCAGCTGTCAGCTCCCGACGAGTGACTGGGTGGGATGTGGCTGCTGTGGGGCTGCACCCCCATATCAGCAGTGCCCCGATGTGGTTTGTGCTGAAGGGTTGTTGCTCTCAGCTTCCCTGGTTTTCTGCAGGAGGCACATGAGCCTGTGGATGGGGAAACCTGAGCAGCATCAAATGGTGAATCCCCAGGGAACATCTCTGCATTTTATTGCACCTTCTGAGCCCTGTCTTTTCTTTTTTTGTGGGGACATCTTGGGAATGTCCTGTTTGACCTCACAGAGCATGTGAAATTGTTGTCTTACCCACAGACTTTCAAGGTGTCAGTATCTTTGCTTCAAACTCAAGCCAGCAGCTCCCACCTGCCTCCACCAACAAAAACATCCAACTTGTAGGAAGGTGGTGACCATGTAAAGAAAGAAAAGGGAAAAAAAAAAAAGATTTTTATGTAACCATTCATTCAAGGAAGATCCCTGTAGCAAGCGGTTGAATCAATTTACAGTCCTAAAGGCCAGCTGGTAGTGCCTTGGGCTGGGGAGCATCAGCAATTAGCAGTTCCCAAATGTGAGCTCCCCACACAGAGCATGTTGCCCCATGCCCTGGAGCCTCTTATGGTGGCAGAAGTGTATTTCAGCAGCAAAGGGGTATTTTAAAAGTGATGTTTTTTGTTTGTTTTGTTTTGTTTTGTTTTCAACTCTGTAAAGTTCTGTAATCCAGTCTTTGAATTAGCAGGTGATAATGCCCTTGGCAGTACATCAGCAAAAACACACAGTAAAACACAGAATTTCAGAGTAGGAACTCCTCTGCCCCAGCTCACCCGTAACACCAGTGCCAGCAACGAAACTGCCTTCAATGGATGCAGCCTCAGCCTCTTTCCTTGCGCCTCTGGCCAGCCCTGCACTGCCCCTGCCACATGTCTCAGGGGTGCTGGGTACCTTTCTCCAATTTCAAAAGACACGTCCTTCCTTGGATGGCAGTGCAGTACTGGCATGGCTGGTATTTCCCTCCTTGAGTTCAGTTTAATGTAACACCTGTCAAAGATGACAGCTTTTCTCATAACATGTCCATCCACTAAAAGGCTAGAAAAGATGCAGTATCTCATGTCAAGCCCTCTGTGTGTGACATTTTTGTGGGCAGGACTATTTTTAGGCTCCACCATCAGCTACAGACAGGATCCTCACAGAGATCCACTGAAGGCTGTCACCTCTGTTGTTTATTTCCATAGTCCCAAACAAACCAGATGGACTTTGTACACTTGGTGCATCACAGCCTTTCTGATAGAGAGCAAGGGTGACCTGCATCACCTCGAAAGGGGCTGGGTATTTTCTAGGACAGAAAGGCAGACTGAAGCAGAAAGGCAGACTGAAGCTTGCTCCTCCTGAGCTCAGACTGTGACAGAGGAGCACCAACAGCTAAATATGCAGGGCACCTACATGAGCTCAAGCCACAGATAAGTGAATATTTGCGGCTTCAGGATAACAACTGGGTAATGGGTTCCTAGAGCTGGCACCATGTGGCCTGGCTCCAGACAGAACAAATCCTTTGCAGACCCCCAGGGCTCCAAGCAGTGTCACACCTGTGGCAAGGCAGCTGCCACCTCCCTGGGGCAGTACCAATGGCAAAGCTGCACAGCTGTGCCAAATTTCTCCCTGTCCCCATGCTAACTTTGTGTTTTTCTTGAAAACTAATGATTCCCGTTTTTTTTATAAACATTGATCTTTGATTATTTCAACCTGTTTCTCCCATGACCCAGAGTATTGCCATTAGTAGGTTTCTGCTCAGTTGCTTATCTCTTCCTTGTTCTTAGTCTTACCTCTAAGTGTATGTTAACTCAAGCAGTTAGACATCATGATAAGGCTGTTACTGTCTGAGATGCCACCATGCAAGGTAGAAAATGCCTCGCTTCTGCTTTGGGGATTTCTGAGCAGTAGGTGCACTGGCATCCTTTCATCACCATTCAAGTTTTTTTTTTAAATAATGAATTTGTGTTTATTGAATAGGTGAACAGGATTTGAAAATGATCGGGATCCTGCAGGCTGCACACCCAGGGGTCCTTATTAACAACGAAATCGTAGAGCCCAACCCACAGCATGTGGCTGCTTACAAAGGTGAGGCTCTTTGGGCCACCTCCACAGCCTGGGGTACAGCCAGTACCGTTGATTTGTATGATGATTTGTTCTGCTGTTCTGTGATTATTTTTTTCTTCTACTTTTTAAACAGAGCTAGTTAATCAAGCTCCAGATCTGCAGGGTGTCTCCTTTATTTGGCACCAGCTCACTTGCTCAGAGTATGAACAACAGGTGAAAGAGAAATGCATAAACAAGAAACTTGACTTCATACATATGATTCAGGTAAGGAAGTATTTTTTTAATATAGAAGTATTACATTTCAGCACTACCTTCTGCTGGATGTTGGGGGACTGGGGATGAACACAGCTCTCCAGCAAACAACAGCTTCTGCAGCAGCTGTACAAATAAACCTCATTCCTGATCCACCCAGGTTTTGGTCTCTGGTTTTCACTGGTTTAACTGTATGGTGGGTAATAAAACAGGACTGTTGGACAGACACATACAACATCACACAGAGACCAACACTTATGCTTTGCCACTTCAAAAAGCTGGAGTTTTTTGACCTCATCAGAATAATTTGGATGGCATTGAATGGAAATATTAGTGAACATCTCTATCTGTATCTGCACTCTCACACAGGGGCCTCGGCCATGGGAAGTCAGCAAAGATAGTGAAGAACTCGCCTAAAAACTGATTAAAGGGATGCACACATCTTGCAGCCACAACGCTGCTGGGCCTGAAGGGTGGCACTGGGCGGGAAGTGACGGGGAAGTCGTGTAAAGCACCAGCTCTATAGAGAGGGCCTAAACCCTTGCAGGGCTCTTGCATTACGCAGGAGGAGTAATGGCTGCATGCAACTCTCCCTTCCAGATGCTGTACCGTGTGGAAGATATTCCTAATATCATCAAGTTTTTCCACAGTTGCCTCGACCACCAGGCTAAACTCCTGATCATAATTTTGGCAGGTAAGAGGGGTGTCTCATTTTTTGGCATCATTGCTGGTATTTTGAAGGGCTGTGAAGTATGAGAGCTACTAGTAATTGCCTCAGGATTTCAGTAGCAGTAATTCCATCACAATTAAACAAAACAAACATATTATACAGGGAGCATTCAACCATGGGCTTAGTCTCTTGGACCCCAATGTCTGATGAGACTACAGACATAACCTGCGTGCTCTTGCTTCCATGCATGAAAAGCATATGAATGACTACATACCTTGTAGAAGCCTCCTGCTGTGAAATTACTGGCTAGAGAGAAGTGTGGCTACTCCTGGAGGAAAGCCAGTCCTTGTTTATGGTGAAATGAACACCATGTAAAGACAGCCTGAGCTCTGAGGCTCTTTGCACAGCAATGGCTAAAAACAGTAGGCCAAGGGGAGCTGCCCAGAGCTGTGGGGTTTGAAAAAGAGGCACTTATAAATTTATCATACTTATTTAAAAAAAAAAAAAAGTGTTTTTTCCAGTGTGCCATTCATGAGTTCCCAGCTCATGGAATAGTGGACAAAACACACTTCCCCATGTTCAACATTAAACCTCCCTCCAGCACTGCTGGAACGCTGGTTTCTATTGCTAGCTGGGACAGACTTTTTCAGGTATATGCTTTTGGATGTACACTTAAAAATGAGGCTCAGTGCATAAAAATGCCTGTGCTATTCTATCAAAGAGGCACTTAAGGAGTAACATGCATGTGCAGGCTCTGTGCACTGGTACAGCTGTGTGTACTCCTTGCTCCGGACAAACCCAGTGCTGGTGATGGTCACCTGGGAGTTTCACTGAAACGGGAGAGTTTTGGAGGGAGAGCTGCAGGTGCTCGTGTTTTTACCCATCTTTATGAGTGGACTCAAGTGAGGGGAAAGCCCTTCCACTGCTCCTGGCAAGGTCCATGCCAGCAGAGAGCATTTCAGCCCCATTCAGTCTCTGCACTGGCTGGTGTTGAGCTGCCTTGGCGTTGTAGGACTGACCTCTCCTCCCACTCTGCCAGCTTGTGGAAGAAGTACAGGCACTGCTTGCCTTCAACCGACAGCGGCCACTACATCACCTCTGATGGCATCACAGCTGTTTTGAGGAGGCTCAGCATTCAGTACCACGTCCATGAGTACCACCTGCCACCTAGCACATGTGCAGAAGGGGCTCACGGTCCTGCTGGCCCCATTGCAAATAGCTGTCAGGGCAGGAAGCACCACCTCAGATGGGAAATAGCTGCAGGTGCAGAGCTCATATCCATAAGCTGATTTTTCATGTTTAAGCCAGAAAGTGTGGGCCCATGCTTTTCAGAGACATTTCCTCTGAAACCTCTGTATGGAGGGAAAAAGGAAAAAAGGATCAAAGTGGAAAGCAGTACGAAAATGGTAGCATAATATAATCTCTGGAAGGACCAAGGCATCCTCATCTGTAAGTACTATTGATTTGGCTTTTTCTTTGTTGTCAGCTTAAGAAATACCAATCCCAACTGGACAGCCTCCTCTGGAGTACCCTATACCTATGCACAAACTTTCCATTTTGATCCATATCATTCTTATTCTACAGCTGCCTCCTTTGCTTGCTTACAGCACTGGCCAGGGAATAGATGGCTGGCCTGGTGGACAGGCTCTCAGCAATGCTCCTATGTCCTCCTTCCACTGTTAATTCCCATGCTTTATTTCCAGGTGTTAGTAATGTCTCTGTTTCTCTCTAGTAAATTAAAAGAAAAATGTATATGCCAAATATCAGGCTGGCTTTTCAAGCTCCAAAGAACCACCTACTTGCTAAGTTCCCCCAGATTTTCCCCAGCCCAACAGCACTTAAGCTTTCACTCCTCCACGCAGTTTCCCGAGCAGATAGGTGCATTTCCAGTAAGCAGATGCTCAGAAAAAATCAGTGAGATGAAAATTTACTCATGTCTTTGTAAATCAATGCACAAACGCTCAAAGAAAATGAGCACTTCAAAGCAGGCTGTTCAGTGCCAGCCCAGGGAGATGAAACAGGGCACCCCATTAAAACACTGCTGCCTAATGCTTTAGCTGTAATTTTTCTTTTGATTCTTGAACAACAAGTCATTTAACAGTATCCCTGCATGTACACCTGGAGGAAATACTATCCTAAGTGCCTATTCTATTTATTTATATATTTATTCTCGCTTTAATATGTTATTTATTAACTATTTTTGTGCTGTTTAAGACATGCCGTTTTCCCACGCAGAAGGTCGGTCTTTGAGGTGACCATGAGAGGGCTGCAGCAGCCGGCGGATCTGATTTGGCTCTGAAATCGTTTGAGATGCTGAGCTGGAGGAACAAAGCCAAGCAGGCGGGCAGGATAACACCGCTCTGCCTTAGCTCCGCTCGCCTTGCTGGGTCAGCGCATCCTCAGGTCAGTGCCTGCTCCGTCAGCCGCACAGCTTGTCCCAGCTGTGGATGGAGCAAGCTTGTGGATAACCACGTAGTAAGCTGCCGTGAGTGCTCTGGGGTGAAAGGAATGCCTACAAAGACCAGACTGCATTATTTCTAAATATTATTTCTAAATATAACAGTTGCAGATTTTATCCTTATTTCAAGTTAGTAGAACATCTATTTCAATGACATAGCATTACTCTCCTTGCATGGTATAGGGGTAAGAGAGAAAGCAGTTATTTTATGCTATCAATGAAGGACAGTTGGATTTTTATTTGGTCTGTATTCAGTCTTGGGGGCTAAAAGTTTTGCCTTTGTAAGGCACATTAAGGCTTCTCTACTCATGAACATTACTGGGGATGAAAATAGTGTAGGAACTGGAAAATGTAATAGCAGCTCATCAATGAACTGACAAGCTCAGTAAAATACTGGAGCATGTATTGAAAAGATTAAAGCAAACTTCAACCAGGAAGCAAAATATAAAAGTACAGATGCTGAAATTCTTTTTCCTTCAATATTTGCCTAGAAAAATTTGCTGAGGTTTGTATCAGGAATTAAGAAAATATTTGGGCACTCCATGCATTTTTCATGAATAATTCATGAATAATTTTTCCATCAGAGTAAAATTTTTTCAAGTATTTGTATTTTCTTTGCAGGTACAAGAATAAGCGTAAAGCCATCCCGTTTATGCCCTTTATTTTCAAGCATTCCAGAGAAATATACAGTCATGATGAAAGAAAGGTTGAGAAATTTCAGCTCGAGCAACGAAAATTTGGGGCAAGTTCTTAAACATAGAAAAAGGAGATTTAGAATCCAAACAGTTCAAAAACCTTAATGATGGACATTTCTCCTGTTATAATCATATAAATTAAAAAAGCCTTATAAAGTGCAGCCTGCTAAGTAGCAATAGAAAATCCTGAGTTCTTTAAATTTTTATTTTATTCCTGCAACATTTCTCATGTCAGATAAATATTACCTGAAAAAGAAGGAAATTGCAATATCTACAGAATCTTAGGTGATGCTGTGATCACAGTACAGAAGGACTGTCCTGCTTAAAATGCTTGGACAAATGTAAAATTAGCACTTCCCAATGTCATTTAAAAAGGAGTAAAACCCCAGCGAAGTCTGAGTTTCATAAGACCAGGCTCAGAAACACAGCACCAGCATCAAAGTCATCCTTTTCTAAAGAGTTGCAAAGTTTCTTTTCTTTTTTCCTTTTTCTTTAACAACAAATGCAAAAGCTCTAAATCTTCTCAGCCCTAAGTGCAGGTGGTGTCAGATGAAGTTAACAGGAGACAATGCTTTTAGATGCTTATAAAAACGTGATTTTGTGCATCTCTCTTCCAGGCTGTTATTCAGTGATGAATGTGCAGAGGGTCTTTGTGATGCCCAAAAAGTGACTGAGGCTCTTTGATAATGGCAGAAGGTGGCCTCAGAAGCCCAGCCTGTGCATCTGAGTTGAGATGCTCGTAGATAAGTTCCCTGAGCAGGTCATGTCAGTAGATATAATGTGTCCTTTAAACTACTCTGGCACCTCATTTTCTGTCATTCTCATTTTTCTGCTGCGGCATGTCTCTTTCTTTGAGTAAGGGATGGTTATTTCTTTACAATGGAAATAAAAATAGTTGACATAGAAGTGTGGTGTTTTACCTATTCAGAATGACCGTGGAAAGTTGCACTCCAGAGTCAGCTTGAATAGAGTGAACACTATTAAGTGCCAACATGAAAAAGACCTCTCAGAGGAGATAATGCCTTCACCCAATTAATCTTTCCTAATGAACTTACTCTTTAGAGGTGGGTAGAGCACTTTCAGCATGAAGTTTGCTTCCTGTGATCATTTGTGCCAATAAAAGTCCTGCGAAAATGGATGTGAATGTGCCTGAAGTGGATTTATTTTGATATTTTACTTGTCAAAAAAAAAAAAAAAAAGGTTTGTACTTTTCAACCAGACATGCTATTGTGCTATCTCTTGATGATTTCTGTTCTCTAATAACTCCTCAAATGATAATAAGGCTCCTAGACATGTGTTTCCTTTTGAATTTACAGCTGAGAAAATTCCATGTTTGAAGCACTTGGAAATAGACTTTCATTTGACAACCTGTATTTTTGAGGTGGATAGCTGCTTTCTGAACAAATAACCTTGATGGTTATTTCAGTAATAGTGGTCTGCAAGTGCTCTTCTGGCTCTGGGAGATTTTGACAGGAAAGAAGCCCTTTTCCAGCCAAGATGTATTCTAATGATACTTTGCACTTAGGCAGATTCTTTTATTGAAGCATGTTTTATTCATCAGTTACCAGACTCTCAATTGGTTTGTTTAATCGTCTGTCTTTCTATCACATAAACTTGGAAGTCCAAGAGCAAAGTTGTTTTGTTTTTGTTTTTGTTTTTTACTATTTTTTGCTGTGATTTGGTGAAGAAAGTGCCAGAGAGAGAAAGAAAGTGACAGAGAGAGGGAAGAAAAGTGTGAAAATTCAAATGAAGCAGTGTCAGGCTAAAACAAATCCAGAGGGAGGAAGAAAGTCAGAAGGACTGATGAGAAGATTTTAAAAATTATATCCTTATGATGCATCAATTTCTTTATAAAACTGCAAGCTACTGGTCACTGCCATTAGAAATGGTAGCTAAAACTGGTAGAACATCTCCAGATGAGGGCTCACAAATTAGCTACCTAATTCCTACTGCTATTTTAAGGACTTGTACTAGTGATCAGATTTTCACAGATGTTGGTATTTTGCAGTCTTGGAAAAGAAAATGTGACCAAAAATTAAGACTGAAGTTTATAAGCTAAAATACCCAAATTTTAAATGTTGGCCACTGTAAATTGTCTTCTGCTAAAAACAATTCAGTAATATAATCATGAAAGGCAACTATCAGTCTTCTCCATCTCCAAACTAACCAGAAAAAGAAAAAATAATTAATGAGGACAATAGAGTTAATGGCTGGGGAGAAATTACTTTCCAGCTACTACTCATTTCTGGAGTCATGATAAAATTAGTCACTTTGTATCTGTGCAGCCTGGCTTCATACCTCAAACTGTGAATTGGGATCATTTTTGAGCACCGCAAGCAGATAATACTTTTCAGCCCCTGTGGCAGAAAAGGATAGTTTCTAAATTGCACTTCGTTAAATATGGTTGCAGAAGAGCCGGTGTGTCCAGGTGATAGGCACTGAACTCCTATTTCTTACCGTATTCTGGAAGAACCTCTCAATCAAAGTGAGACTTTATGGCCTGTTTTTAATTTCACAGTTATAAAGACAAACATGCAGCTTTTTCAAGGAAATAATTGGGTACTGTAGAATAAAGCACCTTCCTACCAAATAATAATGGCATATTTAATTAAGTAAAAAGCTATACTAGCTATAACAGATTTAGTGTCTGTAACTTATTTCTATATTAAAGGGTATTTTATAGCCCACCCCACTTAATGTCTAATAATTTTATTTTATTTGAGTGGCTACCAGTGATGCTTGTTGCTATTTGTGATGCAAGATCCAGGAGAAAAGCCAAGAATCATTTGTGGTGATACGTTTTTAATCAAGTGGCAACACCAACTACTCTAGAAATACACAGCACAACTGTAATTGTATTAATATTAAAAAGAAAAAAGAAATAAATCAACCTTCCCCACCCCTCCCCTCAGCCATGGCGGCGCTGCCCCCGCCCCTCCCCCGGCCGCGCGTCGTATGGCGGCGCCTCTCCCGCGCGGCGGAAGTGACGCAGAGGCTGCTGGTGGCGGCGGCGGCAGCGGCGGCCGGGACCCGGGTGCCGGCGCGGGGGGCGCTGGGCGGCGGCCATGGGCAGGAAGGAGCGCGGTGAGCGGGGGGACGGGGACGGGGAAGGGCAGGGAGGGGAAGGGCAGGGCAGGGCAGGGAAGGGCAGGGGCAGGGCAGGGCCGGCTCTGACCGCAGCGCCCCTTAGAGAAGAAGAAGTCGAAGCGGCGGCACGCGGAGGAGGACGAGGACGATGAGGACGAGGCCGCGGGCCGGGAGCCGCAGGAGGCGGTGCCGTCGGCCGCCGGGAAGCAGGTGGAGGATGGCGGCAGCAAGCTGGACGAGTACGGCGCCAAGGACTACCGGCTGCAGATGCCGCTCAAGGCCGACCACGCCTCGCGGCCGCTCTGGGTGGTAGGTGCGGGGCGGGAGGGCCGGGGACTGTGTTTCGGGGGGAGGGGGCTCGCGGTGAGACCTGGTGAGGTGGGAGAGCTGGGCAGCACGGCGCTACAAGGGTGTGAAACTGGACCCCACCGCAGCCTACAGCTTCCTCACGAGGGAGAGCAGAGGGGCAGGCAGCGATCTGTTCTCTGTAGTTACCAGTGATAGGACCTGAGGGAATGGTGCCAAGCTGAGGCAGGGGAGGTTCAGGCTGGACATCAGGAAGACGTCTCGCTCACCGAGAGGGTGGTCGCACACTGGAACAGGCTCCCCAGGGATGCAGTCACTGCACTGAGCCTGTTGGAGTTTAAGAAGCGTTTGGACTGCGTGTGTAATCACATGATCTGAATTTTTGGCTAGACCTGTGTGGTGCCGGAGAGTTGGACTTGATGATCCTTGTGGGTCCCTTCTAACTCAGGATACATTCTATGATTTTATGCTCAGGGAATGGGGCTGGAAGCTTGTCTTGGCTCAAGGCAGGAAGCCAAATCTTTACTAGTTACTATGAGGGAAAAACACCTACGCTATTAATCTGGGAAAACTTTGTCAATCTGGAAGGTTTGTTTTCCATGCTATAGAAGGGTAAATCCTTAGGGTAAATACATTTTTGGGAAACATAAATACATTACCACCTGAATAGTGGAGTCTCTGTGTATCATAATGGCTGCTCTATAGGAAAGACCTTATTTTCCTCAAGTACCGCTGGCAGACCCTCAGCATGTCCTTGTGTTTCCGTAGGCTCCCGATGGCCATATCTTTCTGGAAGCCTTCTCTCCGGTTTACAAATATGCGCAGGATTTCTTGGTTGCCATTGCCGAGCCCGTGTGCAGACCAACCCACATTCATGAGTACAAGCTGACTGCTTACTCCCTCTATGCTGCTGTCAGCGTCGGCTTGCAGACCAGCGACATCACCGAGTACTTACAGAAGCTGAGCAAGACTGGTGTCCCAGATGGAATAATTCAGTTTATCAAGGTAAGGCTGCTGTATTGGTACAAGGAATACATCTGTTGCTAGAGTCGCTGTTTGGCGTGTTCCTAATGACTGCTCTCGTCTGTTTGCAGCTGTGCACTGTCAGCTATGGGAAGGTGAAGCTGGTGCTGAAACACAACAGGTAAATGGCTCTTTGCATTGGTAGTGTGGAAGGAGTCTTCCAGTTGCACGGCTGTGCATGAATGGCTGTGGTCTTAGTGCTTGTGGATTTTTACAGCTCCCAGCTGTGTGTGTACGTGTGTTCATAAAGGGTCATATTTTTAGTTGTTGAAAGTTTAATTCGTTTGTTAATGATTTCAGTTGGTCCTGAGCTACTGGTGGCTGTCATTACATTGTTAAATGTAGGATACAAACTTTCTGTTCTGGCGTGTTTCTTTTTTTGCTTGGACCTACAATATTTTCCTATATCCTTAAGGTTTTCAGATCATCTTAAGGTGAGATCGTCTGACCAGGGTAGATAACATGAAAGTACATGAAGCTTTTGGTGTGAGGCGTCTTCTAAAACTTCAGATTGTCAGAATTTTTTATTTTTTTTTAATTCCCTCCCCTGACACGGGGTACTTGAGAATGCATCTGGGAGAGCTGTAGATCTAAGCATCTGTGCCCCTCTTCCTATGTATGATTCTGTTGATTAGTTCATCCAGATGTTTTTCTTTGTTCTTTCCTTTTAGATATTTTGTGGAAAGTACCCATCCTGATGTCATTCAGCAGCTTCTGCAAGACCATGTTATTAAGGACTGTCGCCTGAGAAATGCTGAAGGCGAAGAAACGGAGCTCATTACAGAGACATTCACCAGTAAATCAGCGGTACGTGTGGCATGTTTTAAAGCAATTGAACTAACATTGGGTAAATTGTTACGTAGCTTGGAGTGATAATTGCGTGCTTGTTGTGTCAGCAGTCACTTTCAGTTCTGTCAGCAATGCTCTGTGCCTCGTTAATCAGCTCCGCTTCAATGTGTGTGGGGAGCATCTCCTAAAGATCCCTTAGGTGAGAATTCCTTTCTATTTCAGATTTCCAAATCCAGTGAAGGTGGCTTTGGTCCATCCACATCACAAGGAGCGGATGCTCAGAACAAGCCAGATGTTCCAGCTGACTTATTTGAGTTCTATGAGCAGATGGATAAAGATGAGGAGGAAGAGGAGGAAACACAGACAGTATCCTTTGAAGTCAAGCAGGTGCGAGCACTTCTGTCTGGTAGCATTTGTAGCTTTGAGGGATGTGCCTGGGACTCAAAAATAAGTGTGAGAACTTCATATAAAGTACAGTACCTCTTTGTTTGTTGGTGGAGATCGTTGGAAGTTGATAACATTTCTTTCCTTTCGCCTTCCAAAATGTTAGGATCTTCCTTTTCACTACAGAGGGAGGCAAACTGCACATTGTTCCTTCCCTGCCCAGATGGGCAGTGCTCACAAGCTAGTGAGGCTTCCAGGAGCTGAGGGAGGTTCCCACTGCGTGCAGCTCGATGCTGCTGTGTGTGAGACAAGGGAGAACTCAGTGGGGAGCAGATCTGCCAAATTCGCTGTTGGTTTCAGAACTTTTTTTCTTCATGATTCATACTTACAGAAGGAACTCTTGGTGGTTCTGCTCTCAAAGCTTGAGATGAGTGGCTGGAGAGTAGAGCACGGTCCTGGCTTGACCTTCAGAGAGATTTTGTAACTTTATTCTAGTTGCTTCCTGGACTTGGTGATTGTAATGACGTCTTACTGGGCAAAACAGAAATAAT